TTCCTGAATTAAAGCATTCATCAGTTGGTTTCAGTTGCCAAGCAGTTCAGCTAAAATTTAATTTACGGACAACTTTGAAAAATTACTTACGTGCAATGTGACTTTCAAGCTCACTGTTTGTGGTCCTATGTACTGGAAGAGTCTGAGAGGTGACTCCCTCCCTTGGGGAAGTGATCACCCTTCTGTTCTCCTCCATAGCATGGTGAGACCAATTAGCACTAGCTTCCGGGGAAGACCTGCCTAGAAGCTAGTGAGTAAACTGAGGTAACCTACCGTTTACCCAGAAATTCACTCTGAATATGCTTTGCATATACAATAACTGACTGGTCATTTTAGATAATTAGTATGGTGGCTTTCCTGAGGAATTTATAAAGAATCCAAAATGCTGCGTTTTAGGATGGAAGTTTCAAGTTGGGACACCTTTCCTTTTTTCCTACCAGATATTCCTCAGGAGAAATGACTTGTGCTAGACAGTGGCTTTGGAGCCAGCCGGGCCTGGGGTTAAATCATGGCTCTGTCACGTACTACCTGCTTATCTTTAAGTAAGTTTACTTAATTTCTCATAGCCTCAGTTTCCTCTCCTGTAAATGAAGATCAAATCCCCGACACAGTAAGGGTATTCAAGTCCAAGCTGACGTTCCCGCCTTGATCTTACAGAGAGCTCTCAGGGTACACACAAGTTACTGTCAAGAAATAAATAATAGATAGGAGATAAATTCCACGCCAACCATATTAATTTACGTCCATGTGAGGACAAACGGAAAACAGAATGATGACGTGCGAGAAGAATGGGAAGTGAAAGTACTGTGACAGGATTCACACAGACCCCACAGGCCCCCAGAGTTGCTGGAATGAAATGTGAGCTTTTGGTGGTCGGCTGGGCAGAGCCTCTGAGAGGTGATGCCTACTGTACCCTCAGGGTCTCTGATCCTGGTAGAGGCACAGCTCAGTTTCTGAAGGGGCACCAACCCAGGAGCTTTCCCTCGCAGGGAGGGTCTGACCCCCGAAGACCACCAGCGCTGACTGCCCTCCAGGGGAACCGCAGGCGCCGGCTGGACAGAGTGAACTAAGTAAACTAAGGAAGCAGTCAACCAGGTCTGTCACTTGGCAGGTATACAGAATTTCCTTTGAATGCAAGAATATTCAAGAATTGAGTAGAGTCTGATAGTACTAAACCTTTCTCAACTAATCACTATGAAGCTGAATTAAAAAAAAAAAAAAAAAAAAAAAAAACAAACCCTAACCCAGGTTCTAAACACTGCTTCACTGTGGGGTGCTTGGGTGGCTCAGTTGGTTAAATGTCCGACTTAGGCTCAGGTCATGATCTGAGAGTTCGTGGGTTGGAGCCCCGTGTCGGGCTCTGTGCTGACAGCTCGGAGCCGGGATCCTGCTTCAGATTCTGTGTCTCCCTCTCTCTCTGCTCCTCCCTCATGTGCTCTGTCCCTCTCTCTCGCTCATAAATAAACACACATTTAAAAAATTATTAAAAATTGCTTCACTGAAACTACGTTTTCTGAAGAGCATCAGACCCGAGGATTGTATAGTATTTAGATGACTCTCACTAAGGCAAACTGCCTGCTCTCCTGGCCTCCGATATCAAGAACTAGCTGGTCTTCAGCAGGTTATAGCATGAAGCGAGGAGAGTGCCCCTGGGTCCTGACCTCCATTCTACACTCTGGTCATGGAATCAATTGTGAATTAGATTCAAGATACTAAACCACCCTCAGCACTAAAATCTATGACTCCACTTAATAAGATCGTAAGTTGCTTCTTTCCAGAGTTAAACTCTGGTGCTTAGGTGACTGTATCTCATTAAAGACCCTTTCATCTTCAATACCTTGCATCATATTTGTAAACGCATTTTTAATGAATTCCCAGAAAGTGTTAACTACCATGAAACAGATGAAAATATGTGAAAAATGTGATCTCTACAAAGAGGCTTATGTTGTTTTCAAGATACTGTCGGGGGAATATTAATTATCACTACAAAGAGCTCTGTTAATAATTCCACAATAAATTCTTCTTCTTCAGTCCATTTCTGTTCTTATTTATAAGCGTTTTATAGATTTTTGTTTGTCTTCCCCCCATGGCTGTTTTAACCAACATAATCACTTCATCTGAAACATATTCAGCCCCTACTGTTATTTTTAGTTCTAATATTTTATAAAATTGGCCAGCCTTTGTATATTCTTAGTTGCAGAACTTTTGAAAGTAATCCAGTATTGGTGCATTATCTCTTAAAGGATAGAGGAAGAAAGACAGTATTTAGTATTTATAATAATCTTGTCAAAGTACGTGGTAGGGGCGCCTGGGGCGTTCAGTCGGTTGGGCGTTCAACTTCGGCTCAGGTCATGATCTCACAGAATGTGAGTTTGAGCCCCGCGTCGGGCTCTGTGCTGACAGCTCAGAGCCTGGAGCCTGCTTTGGATTCTCTGTCTGCCTCTCTCTGCCGCTCCCGTGCTTGCACTCTGACTCTCTCTCTCTCTCAAAAATAAACATTAAAAAAAAGTTTTTTAAAGTGTGTGGCAGACACCAACAGTAACATGAGTAGCTTTCCCTCTGTTGTATACAAAGAAACCATTTTATCACTTTCCCAGATTACTCAGAAGACTTGGGTTGGGGGAAGTAAACACCCCTTTTTATCTCTACCAGTAAGTAGCAAGAACAACCGGCTAGAGTTATATTTTAAGACCTTCAATTACTAGCTACTTCCAAACTTGAACTCACAAACTGCAAGAATATGACCTGAGCCGAAGTTGGATGCTTAACCGCTGAGCCACTCTGATGGTCCACCTTGTTACCATTTTTATTTCTAGCTAAAGAGTAGGGCTGTGAAGAAAATTACAGCATGTTCTCTATTTCTCTGTGCAGTATGCTTTTGCAAACTATTGTGTGATGTCCAGTATCCACTGAAAATGGTAAGAGCAGCCCCTATCACTGTACTTGTAATGACATAAATCATTACCATCTACTATTGGGGTAACTGCTCGACTGTCATTTAAGATGGGACACAGCCATTTATGGTTCCCTAATTTCCAAATACTTTCATACTGTTAATGCACCATCCTGAAAAGAAGTAAATTAAAACAATTCCTGCCAACTTTCAAAGTGTTTCAAAGCTTCAGCCTAAAAAGCATCATCAGGCTGACCTTCATGTTTCTAGAAGGCTCCAAACATATTAAATTGAAATGAGACCCTTCTTGACTTTAGCTGGTCTCAGTTACGTCACTGACCATTCTTCAAATTCAGTAATCTTGTTTTTAGTGTCACTTCAGGCTGAATCATTCTTTTCAGAAATGACACAGATTGTAATATCTCTGTAGCTCTTTTTATTTCATACAACTCAACTGTCACTTTAAGTGAAAAAATTCTTTTCGAGGACGAGACATTCTCTGCTAGTGACGGCTTGCGTCCTTCTGCCCACCAACGATGGCTGTTTGGGGCTTGCTAACTCCGTTTAAAAAAAAAAAATCACAATACTTTGTAAAGTTAATTGTGGGTTTCCAAGTATCTTTAAAGCGCTATTAAATTCATTTACTCATTTTGCAAGATAACAAGAAGCAGGAGTAGGGAGGGAAGGCTCTCTGGGTCCAGTCCAAGCCCACAAGCTGAGCGAGGCTGGGACTGAGGAAGCGAAGAATCCTCATCAGTGATTCCAGTGTAAATTAAGGCCTGATCCTCAAAATCCATTTTCATGGTAGCTGTGTTTATATTTGAGAATTCATTTACATTAACAAAAAGTAACATTTAAATACTTCTAGTACCTGAAATTACATTTATCAGAGTCCAACATAAGGACATTTTAAAGTTAAGAAGTAGGTCTGTGATGCAGAACTGGATGTAAATGAACTCCTACTTGCACCTGCCCGGCTACTGAAATGCTGGAGGGAGGGGGGGGGCGGGGCGGGGGAGACTCATGGTTTCTTTGCATGTAGCTGGCATGACTCTGCATAGAAAACCAGAGGGGCCAGGGCAGGCCAGGAGTGTGGGGAGATACACGGAGTCTACCTTCACAGTGGGGTCCCTGACATTTACAGTGTCTTTACAAGGGCACCTAGGTGGCTCACTGGGTTTAATCTGGCTTCAGCTCCAGTCACGGTCTTGTGGTTCGTGAGTTCGAGCCCCACGCAGGGTCGCTGCTGTCGGCTCAGAGCCAGTTTCGATCCTCTGCCCCGCCCCCGCTCTGCCCCTCCCCTGCTCATGCTCTGTCACTCAAAAAAAATTAAACATTAAAAAAAAGTCAATGGGGGCGCCTGGGTAGCTCAGTCGGTTAAGCGTCCGACTTCGGCTCAGGTCATGATCTCACGATTCGTGGGTTCAAGCCCCGCGTCGGGCTCTATACTGACAGCTCAGAGCCTGGAGCCTGCTTCAGATTCTGTGTCTCCTTCTCTTTCTGAGCCTGCCCTGCTCACACTGTCTCTCTTTCTCTCTCTCAGAAATAAATTTAAAAAAAATTTTTTTAAATTAAAAAAAAGTCATTGTTAAAACTTTCTCACTGAGCCTCACTGAAAAGAAAAATAATGAAATAAATAAAGTGTCTTTACAAGCAATGGCCTGGTAAAGCAACTTCCAAACTTGGGAGAGAACTATTTTACTTTATTTTCCAAAAAAGCATCAGAGCCTTATTCTTATTTACAACTAAAAATTTAGGTCCAAATCATATTCTGATGAAGTTCTCAGCTAGAAATTACTAAGAGGAAAAATACTTTCATGTTAAGAGACAATTAAGCAAAACACTTCGTTTTGCTTTTGCCACAGAGCCAACTGGCTCTGAAATGATGATTTTAACAAGCCCACATCCCCCTTGAAATACCAAATTCTAGTGATACTTGGGGTGGTGAGTCTCAGAGCCCATACCCGAAAGCCACACCGGTGGGTAAAAACTGCCAAGAGCAAATTAAATTCGCCTCCTGTTAGCGGACTACAATTTCAGCTGCGTCTTTACTAAAAGAAGGCAAAGCTCAACCCAGAACCCATAAAATGAAATGATGCAGACCAACCTTTTATTGCACCCACAATATTTTGGTCTAGTCCTTTCCGGTTGTCATTGAGTCCTCTTTTCCTCTTCCCATTGGGTAAGGAGTTGGCCAAAGTCTTGTCGTCGAAAAACGCACACACCAGCTTTCTAAACAGAAGGCTTCCTGAGCGAGTGTAGTTTGACAAGATAGAGTCCAGCTGTGATTTAGGCATGAACACATCAAAGCCTTCAGCAAGTTGCACTTCTGGCTACCAAAAAGAACATAAATATTTCATTAAAAGCAACATTTGAAGCATGTGCCTTGGGGCAGATGTGCAGCAAAAGAACATCACTAGCTACTGCAATGTCCACACCCTGCAAACGATACGGTCTTGGCTTTTGTGTGCCAGTATTTTGCGACTTATAAAACCAGTGACTAGTTATTACTCACAAAATAAGATGCTCTAATTCCAGCATGAAGTCTCTTCAAAAGCAATGGAGAAGAGCACGCTGAAAATGCATTCTTGTCCTCAGAAAATAGTCCAGAGAAAGCGGATAATCACAAACTCCTATAACTGTAGAGCTACAGGGGACGGGAGATTTCTGGGTGAAACACCCTCGTTTTTTAAGTGAAGGAACGAAGGTCCAAAGAGATCATAACCAATTGACTTAAAAATCATTTAACTGTGCTCACTGCATTACACTCTTCAGATTACTTTCTCCAGCATTAAATCATTTCATTTCATTTGCCTGTGGATACACATGTGGGGCTGCCCCACAGGCCTGTGCTAGTGGTTTCCAGCTGTGGAACTGTATTCTTTTTTCCTCTGGTGAAACCTTATGTAAGCTAATCCATAAAATTAATAAAACCAATGAGCAGGTGCCCCAGGCAGCTCCGTTCCACCTTGCACCCTTACTTTTGGGAGGAGAATCTGAAGCTATGTCCCAGAGCGCCACTGGAAAACCAATGTTCTAGTCACACTGCTTCTCCATCAGGGATTTTCTGATTGGGATGTTGAAGCAGAAGACAAGGAAGGCGCCTTTCAACTTGGACTTTAAGTCGTGTGATAGAAGCTCAGACAGTAATAAATTCTTGTCTGTCAGCACTCCGTGGATGGGTACAGCTTGTCTTTTCATCGGCAACCCAGTGAACATTTACATTGTAGAGCCTTTGTGAACCCCTGCCTTCCCGTGACTCTTTGTCACTGCTATTCATGTGACATACGTACGTGGCTAATTTTATTATACCATATAATCAGTTATCATATTGGGACCCTTCCGGATGCCCGTAAGTCAGACTTTGTATCTCTCAGGGCTGGCACGTCCTAAGTCCTCAATAAGTACTTGTTGGATAGATAGAAGCTCCTTAGTCATAATCTAAACCATTAAGTCATTTGCTCTTGGTTGTAATGATAAGTCTAAAACAATAATATGAAGACATGTGGTTGGTAAACTTTCATTAGGAAAAAAGTCAGAAGAATATCTAGCTTCAGTAAGATGTATTACAAAAACTTACTCTTGGATAATCATACTTAATCACTTTGTAGACCCCATACTCCTTTAGACTTAAAAAAAATTTTTTTTAATGTTTTATTTATTTCTGAGAGTGAGAGACAGTGTGAGCAGGGGAGGGTCAGAGAGAGAGGGAGACACAGAATCTGAAGCAGGCTCCAGGCTCTGAGCTAGCTGTCAGCACAGAGCCCGACATGGGGCTTGAACCCATGAACCATGGGATTGTGACCTGAGCCGAAGTCGGATGCTTAACTGAGCCACCCAGGCGCCCCTAGACTTTAAAACCATATTAGGAACGCAAGGATCTGAGATTAGTTTTTCTCCTGGGGAATAGGAATTATTTTGTTTGGCCTCATGCTTCCCAGAATGCCTAGCACACTACGGTCGAGTAAAAGGGCTCAGAGCAGAGCGTGAATGATTCTGATGACGTGGGAAGTCTGGCCCTGCCTTTTCCAAATGCAATTCTCCACTGGATTATCCACAAGGTCGTCTCATTTCTCTGCCTCACTCTGCCTTTCAGTCCCTGGATGCTTGATAAATATCACCGTAGGGGCGGTGGCGTCAGACTGATTGCTGTTTTGGGTCCTGCGGCTGGTAAAGGGTGTGTGCGGGCTGTGGCTGGGAGGCCGAGGCGGTACCCCCACCTCTTGGAACAGAAGCTGCCCCACATCTGATGCTCAATGCAGTTTCACTGAATGATTCAATGTGGAAATAGCACACCGAGAGACTTATAGCATCATAATCTAAGGAAGTTTTTATTTGTAACTAGAGTTTTGCTGCTTTTAGGCCTTATCCTAAAGGAACTGATCCTAGAATTTTGCAAAGTGCTCCTACATATTGTTTACAAGCCATTTAAAAAAAGAGTCCCAATTTCCTTTATAAGCAGCAGCTATCTGAGGGACTAAGGTGGTATTGAGGCTTTTTTTTTTTTACTTATTTCTAGGAGAGAGAGAGAGAAAAGGTATTGAGGCTTTTAAATTTTCAGGAGTCAAAAGGGGAAAACACCAACTGAACTCGTTCATATATCTCTGTTGAACTTGAGTAATCATCAAACATGTGCTTAAAGCTCAGCCACCTGACCTGAGACTCCCAGAACTTGCCCTTGGACTCACCCTGGAGGACTTTTTGAGGAACAGTGACATGAACTGGCCATCAGGCGAAATAAGCCCTCCTTTCTTCACATACTCAGTCTTTTCTACAAAGTATGTTTCCGGCACTTTCCACACTGCCTTTATTTGGTTGGGAGTTTGTGTTTCTCAGCAGAATATGTGCTCGTTTGTATTCACAGTACCAAACGCCCAGTCATTGCCCAATAGCTATTTGTCAGAATACAAAATAAACAAAACACTGTGTAAGGATTCATTCAAAATTCATTCATTTGAAAATAATATTGATTTAGAGTCCTTTTATTCTAAGACACAGAAAGTGTGTTTGAAAAGTCTGCCTCGCCACGGTTCAGCATACCAGTCAGCACTAACTCAAGGTGTAGACTGCCTGGAGAACATATTTATTGTATATAACTCCATGTGTCAGGAGTTGAAAGTCGGGCTCACTAGAGGAGATGCATAAATATCTATTATGTAAAGCACAAAGTGGTCAGTGCTACAGGAGATGTACAGGGCACCAGGTAGCATCTAGCTGGTGAGGCGTGAGGGGTGAGCGGGATCAGGGAGGGGACAGGAGAGCATTTTATGAGGGCCTCACGGCAGAATTTAGGAGACAGAGATGCAGTTGCTGTTTCTAGCATTTGCTGCAACTCCTAAAACTAAGCATCTGGACGTTTCTCTGGAGCCCCGAGACCCGCTAAGGGATAACAGTATTTGATTTCTGAGAGGAGCCAAAGCTGTCGGTGCGTCCTGTTCCACTTTCTACTGACGGACAAATGCTGTTATTTTGAAGTGTTCTCTCCAGATCAAGGAACGTGAGCTTGCCCGGGGATGCGTCTCTTACAAAGGAGTCAGTTTTACTAGTTGAGGCCGTAAGAGCTGTGCCAGGAGCAGAGGGGCTGATCTTTGCCCCCTTCCCGGTGTCCTGCCCTTTCTCGTATGCAGATTCGTACTAATGCTATGTCCACAAGGTGCCACAAAGCAGCAAACGAACTCCTTAAAAAAAGAAGGTAGCTTTATTTTCCGAGACATGAAGAAAACTAATCTCAAGTTTTCACTACAAAACTTTTTGATTTCCTCCATTTAATAAATATAGTGAGCGGGCCTTACTACTACGTAATGATCGACAGACAACTTTGCGCAAATATTAAAAAACAGGTTAAAACTCCAGTTGTGTCATTGAACCCCTTCTTTCCGTGTACCAGCGCTAGTTTAAAACAGATATCTCTGCATACTAATGATGGCTATGCTGGGAACCACACTCTTCCAAATGAATGATCATTTTATAAACTAGATTTCCTCGGACCGAATCACTATTCGAGCGAAGACAGATGACTACTACGCTAATTTACAGATTCTGTTGATTCCTGAAGTCGTATGATCTTTCAACGAGGACATCCAAAGGATGGGGCAGAATTTATGACCCTTGGAGTCATCATTTTAAGAGTGAAGAGTCTGAATTCAGACTAAATTTGGATGTTCGTGGACGTCTTGCCTATTTTCAGTACCACAGTTAACTTAGCACGATAGCATAGAAAATGTTGAATTTTCCTTATCTAGCGGCATCACATCTTGTGCTGGGTGAACTCTGGCAGCAAAAACTATATTTAGTCATAATGACCCTTGAGAATGTTTGTGGACCCGGCCTGTGGACATTAACTCTCTTGTTTCTCTTTGCATTTCAGTTGTGGCCTCCCTTTGCTTAGTAGAATTTGGGGTCAAGATCTAGTTTGAGTGGGGGAATCCCCTAACCAGGTAAATTGAAAGATTTCTCCTTCAGTCCCTATGGGCATATCATGTGATTCCCCTGTAGAACTTAAAGTAAAATAGGGGTGCCTGGGTGCCTCAGTTGAGTGTCAGCTCAGGTCATGATCTCACAGTTCCTGAGTTCGAGCCCCGTGTCAGACTCTGTGCTGGCAGGTCAGAGCCTGGAACCTGCTTCGGATTCTGTATCTCCCTCTCTTGACCCTCCCCCACTCATGCTCTCTCTATCAAAAATAAATAAGTAAATAAATAAATAAACTGTTAAAAAAATAAAGGAAAATATGTAAAACAATTTTAAAGAGAGCATATTAATTAATCACAGAGGGAACATTTCTGATACAGGCTACTTTACATCAGGTATTATCAATGCCGAATTATAGTAGGACGTGTATATAAAACATGTATTGGTTAAAGAAGTAAAAAAACTGCTTGAGTATTCACATTGGACATTAGCCTCAGGTTTTCAACTGCAAATCAATACATTACATATAATAGTTTGTATACTCAACTGGCTAACTAGTTAATTTTCAGGCTGGCTCACGAAAAAAAACCAACAACAACATGGATGAAGAGTCAGGATTCTGTGGAATAAAACTAACCAATTTGGGGCTGACCACACATAACAGAATTTATAAGATGGCTGAATGACCATGAACTTAAGTCTTTTTGCTCACAGTACTTCCATGCACAATGATCTTTTAGTCTCATTTACTATTTATTTTGCAGCATGTCAGATGTATTTCTAGGAAAATGAGCTTTAGTTTGTGGGAAGAAATTTAAGAAAACCACAAAAACTCCCCGCTGATGTTATTTTGCTCACAAACACGATCTGCTTCTATTTGAGAAAAACTGCAATCGTTTCCTGTAACACAGGTCTGCCTCAGGTA